CATTTTGACGTCATGTCGTCTTAAACTGAAGAACATGACGGGCAGTTGTACCGTAACTCGTCTCTACCTGTAGGTGTTTGACACCTTGTGGCAGAGTAACCATATTATTTTACAACTTGCAATGACTTTCAATCCCTTTGTAATGATCCATACTTTGATATTCTAGTAAGATAAGTAACGCACAAGACGTCGTTTTCACGTCATGTCGTCTAAAACCAAAGAAAATGGCGGGAAGTTGTACCGTAGCTGGTCTCCACCTGTAGGTGCTTAACACCTTGAAACAGAGTAACCATATAATTTTAAAACTTGCAACAACTTTCAATTCTTTATAATGATCTATACTTTGATATTCTATTCAGAAAAGTAACGCACACAACGTCGTGTTGACGACATGTGGACTTAAAGTGAAGAAAAAGTGTCAAAACACCAGCGGGCGGAGACCAGCTACGGTACAGCTTCCCGCCATTTCTCTTCAGTTTAAGACGACTTACTAGAATATCAAAGTATAGATCATTATAAAGGGATTGAATGTCATTGTAAGTTGTAAAGTTATATTGTTACCCTGCTGCAAGGGGTCAACCACCTATAGGTGGAGACCAGCTACGGTACAACTTCCCGCCATTTTCTTTTATTTAACACGACATGACGTCAAAACGACGTCGTGTGCGTTACATTTCTTAGTAGAATATCAAAGTATGGATCTTTATAAAGGGATTGAATGTCATTGCAAGTTGTAAAATTATATGGTACTCGGCTAAAAGGTGTCAAACACCTGAAGACGGAGACCAGTTACGTAGCAACTGCCCGCCATCTTTACTTGAATCGGCGGCCAGCTTCGCTTCAGCTTCAGTTTATTATATTGTCGCTAGGTGTCGTTTTCAACTCGTTAATGTGCACTTATTCTTGTCGTCATTACGATGTCGTGTGCGTTACTATTCCTACAAGAAGATAAACGTATCTATCATTCATAAATATTAGAAAGTCATAACAAGTTGTGAAATTATATGCTTACTATGCTACAAGGTGTTAAACACATGAGAGTGGAGACCAGCTACGGTAAAACTGCCAGCAATCTTTTCTTCAATTCAAGACGACATGACGTCAAAACGACGTCGTGTGCGTAACTTTTCTCACTAGAATGTCAAAGTATAGATCATTATAAAGGGATTGAAAGTCATTGCAAGTTCTAAAATTATATGGTTACTCTGCTACAAGGTGTTTAACACCCACAGGTGGAGACATGTTACGTTAAAACTTCCCGCCATTTTCTATAGTTTTAGACGACATGACGTCAAAACGACGTCGTGTGCGTTACATGTCTTACTAGAATATCAAAGTATGGATCATTGTAAAGGGATTGAAAGTCATCGCAAGTTGTAAAATTATATGGGTACTCTGCTACAAGGTGTTAAACACCTACAGGCGGAGACGAGTCACGGTACAACTTCCCGCCATTTTCTTCAGTTTAAGACGACATGACGTCAAAATGACGTAGCGTGCGTTACTTTTCTTACTAGAACACCAAAGTATGGATCATCATAAAATGATGGAAAGTCATTACGAGTTATAGAATTATGTGCTTAATCTGACGCAAGGTGTTTAACACCTGAGGGTGGAGACCATTCACTTGAATCGGCCGCCAGCATCAGCAGATTATGATATTGTCGCTAGGTGTCGTTTCTAAGTCTTTAATTTGCACTTTATCGTTTAATTGGTACTTTATGATTTTATTCATCTTTGAATTGATATTCTATGCGTTATTACAGACCATTTGCAACAATTCCCCATTCGTGATTTTTCTTTGGGGTCGATTTAGGAAATTTCTGGGATTTTGAATCTGTATTTGAATTAGCTGCTATGCTCGGTTTAGTCCCGAATCGGCGGCTGAAAGGGCGGCTACGAATCGGCGGCCCAATCGGCGGCCTACTTCAGGTTGGTTGGAGCTAGGGGCTGGGCGTGACCTATGACCTCTTGTGACCTGTCAGGTTTTACACCGCAGCAAAACGCAACGAAACGTGTCTAAAACCGACAAATGGTGATATAAAAACCTCCCCAAACAGTATTCAGCAGTTGGAATATTTTTTTAAAATTAATAATCCAGAAATTGGAAGAAACATCTTTGCATTAACTTTAATATTCAATGTATTCACCTTTGTTATAAAGATATCCATAGCGTTTGTGTGTGTATGTATGTGTGTGTGTGTGTACAAAGTATAATGTGTGGTGTGTGTGTGTGTGTGTGTGTGTGTGTGTGTGAGAGAGAGAGAGAGAGAGAGAGAGAGAGAGAGAGGGAGTGAGAGAGAGAGTGTATGTGTCCGTGTGTGCGAGAATATTCAATGTATTCACCTTTGTTAAGGATATCCGTAGCATTTGTGTGTGTGTGTACGTATACTATAAAGGTAACACAGTATAATGTGTGGTGTGTGTGTGTGAGAGAGAGGGAGTGAGAGAGTGATAGTGAGAGAGAGTGCGTGTGTGCAACTGTGCGTGCGACTGTGCGTGCATGTGTATGCCCGTGTATGTGTGTGCATGTATGCGTGTGTGCATGTGCGTG